GTTATGTGGTATATCCTGGCATGTATATACACACACACACACACACACACACACACACACACACAAAATTGATCAAGAGTAATAAATATATTAAAATTTTTTGCAAAGAAAAGATGACCAAAGTAGGTGAACAAATGGTGAATTTTGGCAGAGAAATCTAACTCTATAAAAATAAATAGAATTTCTAGAAATGAAAAATTCATGTCTCAAATAAAGATTGTATTGGATAGCTGAGCACTAACTTGGGCACAATATGATCAGTTAAATTAAAGATGGGGACAATGGAAAATACCAAACAGAAAAGAATTTGCTGAGCCTCTTTGGGAGTGACATTCTCACCTCCCCGCCCTCCATTTTCCAGCCTCACCTTATGCCACAAGGCCCGTAGGCAGCTTCTCCGAAGTGTTGTGTGCTGCCATGCCAGGTACTCATCCACATGGGCACGGGCCTGCAGATCTTGAGGGTACCAGTAGTCAGGGACCTTATACTTGTGTGTTAGGTAGAGCAGGATGGCCACACTATATAAGCGGGAGCACATGATGGGTAGTCAAAGAGCATTGTGCTGACTTCATACCCAGTACCTTCTCTAACCTTCTCTAATCTTCCTGCCAATCTACCAGTCTAAGCCTCAGTTTTCAGATGTGCAAAGTGGGCTTAGAATAGGGAAGAGACTTGTCCCAGGGCGCAGAACCTTTGAGATCAGAATTGAGTCTTTCTGAGGTTAATACCCAAGCCTACCCAACCACCAGACAAAATCCCACCACAGACAGTCCTGTCCTGCCAAGTGTTCAGAGAGTTTCTGAGCAGAGGACCCGACAACCTCCTGAAGGAGGGGCACTGGCAAGCAAGCCGAGCTTTAGGAAAGCTCAGATTTTCCAGTCTACACTCACTCTCATCCTTTGGCATTCAGATCAGTCTCCGATGGCCTGGTGGTTCAAAAAAGGTTTTCTCATTCTCCTTTTGTTGAGACCACCCAGACTGGCCTCAAACTCATAATCCTCTAGTTTTAGCCTCTGGAGTGCTGGGGTGACAGGCGTGAGCCACCCATCAGGCCCTTTGTTCTTTTTGTCACTCTTTCTGCAAAGGATCAGCTTGACTCCCTGAAATCTTGCTCAGATGTTTGGGATGCTGCAGTGTTGGGGAACCCTGCTGTTAGGGTTGTAGTTCTCCATGTCCGGATATCCCTGAGGGGCTCGGCACCAAATGGAAGGACTCCCCTTTTCAGCAGGGGTCCTCCTGCTCTTTTCCTGGCTCACCTG